GGGCTGGGCCCCGGGCCTGCCCCTCCCCGCCCCCCGGCTGCTGCGGCAGGGAGCAGGGAAACAGGCACAGACCCCAAGCAGCAGGAGGGAAGGGGGGAGTGGTCCTGGGAGCGGGGGTGGGGGCACGGGGCTCCATCCCCACCCATTTCCCTTCTCCCTATCATTCTTGACGGGCAGTTCGCTAGTTCTAATACTATAAAACCCTCAGTCTGTCTGTCCGTAACGCTTTATTCGCACTCTGATTGGCTGACGGAAGCAGCCAATCAGCGTGCTTCAAGCATGGGGGAGCGCCACCATGATTCCGAAGCTGCACCAAAGACTGGAAAGAGGGTGGGGGAGCCGTGGCCTGCGCTGCTGGCCTCAGCTCCCCCACCCCGCTCCCTGCAAGAGGCAGAACAGCGGCAGCACAGGGTGTTAGGTGGTGGCACTCCATCCCAGCCCCCTCCCCGCATTATTCTTGATGGGCAATTGCCTATTCTTTAATAAAGGTTTTTTGTAATTAAACATTTTATTTAAATACAGTGTTCAAATCTGAACCAGTTATGCCTAGGAGAAAATAATTTTTCAATGTAGATAAGTGGGGCACTGTTGGACTGGTGGGGGAAACCAATTAGAGCTGAGGATCTTCCATGAACAAAACTTTGCGTAACGTTGGATAAGACCTGAGTGCATATTAGTTTTCAGGGGTTTAGGTTGTAGCCGTGTTGGTCTAAGGATATAGGCAGACAGGGTTCCTTGGGTGAATTTGATATCTTTTATTAGACCAACCCAAATGGTTGGAGAATAGTTATTAAGCAAGCTTTCGGGTTCAAAAACCCTTCATCAGGCTAAGGAAGCTGCAGCAGTTGGTGTGTGCTCTTCCTGGATGGAATGAAAAGTAAACAAGCCAGGGGCTGGTCTGGGTTGGGGAGTCAGTTGCCAGGCAGATTGTAATGTATCAAAAATCCAAAGTCTATGTTTAGTCCCTGATCTCTAGTATCCAGCAGGTTGATGAAATGGAGCTCATAGGCTCGTCTCTGGGATGTGTTGTGTAAATTTCCCTTGAGGATCAGGACTGAGAGATTGGAGAGAGAGTGGCCCTCCTGTGAGAAATGTGCCCCCACCGGTAATTGGGTGTTTCTGTTCATTCTGGTGCGCAGTTGTTGTTTGGTCTCTCCTATATATTTTCCATCAGGGCGTTTGGTGCATTGGATGAGGTATACTACATTCCTGGAGGTGCAGCTGTAAGATCCTGGGATGCTGATGGCTCTGTTGTGGGGTGTAGTAATAGTGGGGGTGGTGGAGATGTGTTGGCAGGTTTTGCATTTCTTGTCCTGGCACGGTCTGGATCCTTTTGGTGTGTTCTGGGCTTGAGGAAGTTTGCTTCTGGTGATGAGGTTGGCAAGGTTTGGTGCTTGTTTGAAGGCTAGG